TTACTCTTCTCGACTCGAGAATCTCGATTACGATGGTATCCGTATACTGTCCCATGAATCTAGTGAAAATTTTCAACGCCTCAATGCGCATTCTCGCCGGTCTCGTCATCGCTGTCGCCGTTAACGCCATCCTCAACTCTAAACCGTCTGGTAAGTATTGCGGTTCTCCGGTTATCCCCTCAAAGGGTGAAGGTTTCGTCAAGATCACTATAAAAAGCGATACCGCCTTCGACATTGCGGCCTCGTGGACTCCCACTGGTGGTTCGAAGAAGAGCGGCAGCGAAACCGACGTGCCCTATTCGTACGATGACTCGACAAAGGATGCGACCGTCACGGATACGAGCAAGCTGCAGGATCTGATCACCAAAATAGATGCTCCCCTGAAGGCCTCTGATCTCGCTCATCTACATTATGATGGCAAGGATCTGCATGTCGTTGCTCTCCTTAACTTCCCCCTGGAACCATGTTAGCCCAGGTCAGTGACTCAGTTCTCGCTGAGGTCTTTGGGAGTCTCATCATAAGACTCCGGCAGGCGTCAGTGCAAAGGCTGTGTCTCGAGCACTGCTCCTTGTAGAAGTCTTGTTGTTTTCACCAACTTCGATCTCTTTCTCGCTATGATTTTTCGCCGATGAGTTTCGCGGATGGGCTGTTAATGATATCACATTATCTGATCTACTGCAGCACAAGATTGATTATGGCGATGAAATCCCTAGCTCAGTCTACACGGTTCTTGACATGAAGCCTCGAGTCTTAATGTCAACATAGCGACTATTTCAAGTTCAGTCGTTAGTTTAGTTTGTTAGTTCTCAACACGATACCTGTTTGACTCTTTTATCTTTAGAACAAAGCAAGGAACAGCTCTTGTGCGCAGATCACACTGAGCAAAAAAAAGGCAAACTTAGTGGTCATTGGAGACACTTGGTGACACTGAAGATGATAGCTGGTTCGAGAATCCTGGGCGGGTTGCTCCCGGAGCACTGCTCCGTATCAACTCGGAACACAAGACTGTCTTGAGACGAAGAAGCATAAAACGAGGACGAAGGGAACACTCGAATCGGGTGACCCGATCAAGCAGTATGATAAACTGGTCGCTCGATAGTCGTGAACTTAGTGTACTCGTCTTGTATTCATGCACTATCAAAGCCAGTAATAAAAGGATATTGTTCATGACAAATAATTTTACGCATAAGATTACGAACTGAATAGTTGAATATACACCAACTACGAAGCTTGCGTCAACTACTGTCTCTTAATGCGCAGCATATATGAACAGAAGGCGATCAAGGGTATCGGCTACCCGAAGTATCATTCGACGCTCCTATCACGATTCCGAGAAGATCCGTCCACAGATCAAAGTTTACGTGTCACGTACTAAATGAATCGGAATAGTAGGTCGAAAGTATCGTGGAGGACTCAGCTTTTATTGTGCGTTACAAAATCAACGTAGATGGATCATTCTGACCAACGCCGCAGCAGGCGGATTCTCCCTCAGAATGTACTGCGAGTGAAAGCGAGCCAATGAATCCCGATGGATCCGTCATCGCCATGAAATATTTGTACGCAGACACAAAAAGAGCTCAGCACAAGACGGCAATGACGGTTAACGAACCCGACAATCCTGTGTCCTGACACAGTCATCTTCGTTGAGCGGACAGAGCTTGGCAAGTCTTAGATGCGAAGGTTATGAGTGGTCCTGTGACTGAGTTGAATGACTTATCAATGCAGACCGTGAGCCAAGGCAACCGTTGTGCTGTCACGGTCCGTGCCGGGAAGTCTTCCCGGGTAAGATTGTGCAGTCTAACAGGAATCCCGTGTTCATCTTGTTCTCCCGTGAATGCTTAATGAACATTGCTCGTGTTTCCTGTGATCAGGCCAGCTAGTTTGAATCCCAAGATGGGACACCTCGACTTGAATACATGCTGTGGACTGCAGGCCATAGTTCGTCATGGATTCTTGATAGGTTAAGGTGCTTGGAACAACAAAAAATCCCCAGCTTCCGTCCACGACCTTCCGTTGCAATTGGGAGAAGATCTCTTGTCGCGAATCGATCAGCCGGAGAGGAGTCAACCCCACCAGACGACCCTCTAGGGGGGACGGGCGGGTGAGAAACATCTCCCAGGCACCGAGCACCACAGCGCTGGATACCAACCCTCTGCGCTGAATACGACGGGTACGTGGCTTGCCCGGCAAACACACACATAGTTATTTCACGCAGCGAACTACCTTGGCTTTCCCCTCTACGCGATAAGTGTGACGCTTAACAATTGTGAACCCGACGAGGTCGACATTACGAAGTCGTTGATATTTTGGAGGTTGAGCTACTGCTGTACTTCTGAATTGGTAATTACTATTTGTATGAATACGCAGTACTGTACTTTTCATTGATGGCTCATCGATGATTGATGTTGCCTGTTGTGTTACTCGTCTCGAGTACGATGTCTATCTAGTGATAGTATCCGTTTGACAGTCCATGAATTTCAACGCCTCAATGCGCATTCTCGTCGGAGACCGACGGTCGGTCTCATCATCGCTATCGCTGTTAACGCCATCCTCAACTCTAAACCGTCTGGCAACTATTGCGGTTATCCTGTTATCACCCCAAGGGGTAAAGGGTTCATCCCGATCAACATAGCAGACAGTCACAAATTCAACATTTATGCCGAGTGGATTCCCTTTTTTGGTTGTAAGAGCGCTGGCATCGAGTATTACGTGCCCTACTCGTACGAAGACTCGACACAGAACATGACCGTCACGGATTTTAAAAAAGCTGCAGGATCTGATCACCAAAATAGATGCTCCCATGAGACCCTCTGATCTCGCTCATCTACATTATGATGGCAATGCTCTCACGGGTAGCATCTGGGGAAGATAAAGTGTCCAAATTTCTTCTGGTTCATGGTATATACCATTCGATTCGTCACACTAAGGAGAGTCGGAAAATGTGTGAAATAGAGTTTTTTACCCCATATATATACATTTTTATGTCATATATAGATTTCACGCGCAAAGTGAAGATCGCGCGCGCCATGGAGTACTACACGACATGTCAAGTCATCCGCCTGCGGTACATGTAGATGACTTGGGAGCCATTTTAGGTCTGATTCTTTAACAACACAACATACACCGAGTTCTAGAGTTGAAATTTCATTGGTAATGTGTTATATCTGCGAACCCTCAGTGGTGATGGGCTCGTAGCTCGACTCTGACGAGCTTTTCCACACCATCAGTTTCGCTGTCACTCTCTAGACTACAGATCTGCGAATCATCATCGCCAACCTCCCCCATCCTCTCGGCTTCATCCCACTTCAAGTTCCAGTTGTACGAGACCATGCAGTCCATGAGACGATCCGGAAAAATCTTGTTCTTAGGATCCACTTTGAACCTCAGATCCCAGACACGTTGGAGTCTTGCGTGTAGAGCCTCGCCGGATTGCTCCGAAGAGATACCAAGCCCAGCATCAGGCAGAGACTCGTAATATGAAAGGTACTGCTCTACATGATGGAGCACGATGTGGACTTTGAGAGTTGGAGCCAAACCGGTTGCATCCCATGCAGTACCAAACTCATTTATGGACTCTTTCCAACCAGGCAATCGACGATTCCCGAGGCATTTCTGTTGGAAGTGGTAGAAAGCCTTCAGCGCTTCCACAAAGGGTAGAGCCTTCTTAGCGAAAGGTATCTTATCCAAGGCCACAGCACGGAGCAATCGCGAACAGCTGTTACCCTCGAGAGCACCGTCGAAGTAGGCTGACCGTCTTACATTTTGCTCCTGAAGAGCTCTACAATGCCTCACGTAGATAGAGGTCTTGCTGCTACTCTCGGCAGAGGGCTTGGCATGGTTGTACAACTTGTTGACAATCCCAAGCATGATGTGCAGCGGCGAAAGGGAGAGCACTTCAAGGGGAGACTTTTCCCACCGGATCACAGGCTGCGCGACAACACTGTGAATTCCCTGTTTGAGGTCTTCCATATGCCGTTCCCAGCTCCTGTCGTCACCATGCTCGGTCGAGTGTCTCGAGCTAACACAGAATGGACAGGGGTACTTGGAGGAGGCCATTTGTATACCCACCAAAAGAGCAGTCACCTTGAGGTCACATGCTATCTGTCTAGGCATGCCGAGGTCGAATAACTTCTTGATAGGTTCACAGTCGAAGATCTGCTGCAGGTTGTGCCTCGTCTCGGCGGCCGAGACGAGTGAAGTTCCGAAGGTGTACTCGACGAAGTTGAAAGCTCTATGACGAACTCCAAGGTTCGAACGTCGAAATTGAAAGTTCTATTAACACGAATTTGAACTTCCTATCGACTTCGGACGGACTTGAATGTTCTATGACGAAGTTGAAAGTTCTAATTGCGAATATGATCTTCCCGTTTGGGATTCGTACCTCCAACTTCGCGCGTCCCGACGAAATTAATGGTTCCAAAGACGAACTAGATGATTAAAAGGTGTAGATCAAAATCCGTTGCCTATATCCACCTTTGGGATTGCGTTGCTAGAGTTACTAGCATCGACTAGCTAAGTTTTAGCTGCTAAGGTATCGATCGGCGACCCATCGAGAAGATCCGTCAACGAACTCAAGTCTACGTCACTTGTACCAAAATCGATATCTCACTGCTATAACTAGATAAGCCAACTCGACTCCAGCTCTTGTAGTATACCAGCTAACTTAGTGATACGGTAGTGGCCCTAGTCAGTTGTAGGGTATTTAGTTACTGTCGATCGATACCACAAATATAAGACGGAGGTAAGTCAAGACAGTTAAGCCGAAGGTCGATAGAACCGATCTTCTAACCGAACCGAACGAAGATAAATAAACAAAGAAGAAGAACTGAGATAACTCAGATAATGATAGAACTATAGCACAGTTATACTCGATCGATCAGACTCTTGATAACACGGGGTGAAGCCGCTGGATGAAGCCTTGCACGCAAACTCATCTTCATGAACGCAGACTCATATTCACGCACCCAGGCCCGGTCCAGCACACTCCCCCTAAAGCTTCTTACGAGGAGCTTTACTAACCTCCTCAATCTGCTCCAGAACTCTCTTCTTTCCCCGGGTCAACATACCCGGACCTGACTTCGACATCGCCTTCACAGTATCCCTCCAACGGCGTAGATCCTTCCTGTCTATCTTTACGGATCCCCAATCTCCCGTCTGCTTCGGCTCTGTCTGCACTGCCGTGGTGGACTGTTTAGGCTCCTCACCAACCTCATCAATCTTCTCCCGACGGCAGCTTCGCTTCAGCTGATTAACTGCCGCCGTAGTTACCGACCCATCTGCAAGCCTTACTAGCTCAATAGTCGAACCTCTCACCGCCTCCACTCGATATGGCCCTGTATACAAATCGGTTAATTTATCGACCCCGTAATTCCGGCGATAGACTATATCATTCACCGCTACCGGACTTCCACCTACAGGATCCCGCCGATCTGCTAGTCGTCGACGAACTTCAGCCTTCCGAGCCGACCACAATCGTCTCAACGACTCAACCGACTTACCGTATTGGGCTCGATAATAATCTGAGATCCCCTGAAGGCCCTCTGTGAGGTCATCAAATTCCAACCCAGAACCAAGCCACTGACATACCTCTTCTCGACCAAGACGATCATTGTAAAGAGTGCAGGCATCGGCCGTCGAGCGATGCACCGCCCATGGGGCTAGATCGCTACTATCATCATATGGGATAGCGTTGTGAACGAACGTACACAAAGCTAATCGCTGCCGCACTTGATTGATCGAATCCATAGCCTGACCTTCGCTAACCATAGCCCTTAAAGTCACCGTAAGCTCCTTGTGGCTTCGTTCATACCAACCTCGTCGCTCTTCATCATAGGCCTCCGTGACACAGTGAACAACACTCCTGCTGGCTAGATACTCTCTGAATCTCTTGGAGACAAAGTACTGGGCCTGGTCAGTCACGCATACGCGGAACACGCCGTTCTCGGCCATAATTTCACTGACACCAGTCACAATATCTCTGCCGAACAGCTCGTTAACACATCGTAACCAGGAAGTGGCTGATGTAATCAGAGCAAGTTAATACCCAGACCTTCTCTTCGTTATCACCGTTGGAACCCAACCGAATCGGACCCCAAACATCTAAGCCAGCTATACCCCACACCAGAGGTACGAAATCTCTAACACTCGGTAAACACTTGTTCAAGAGACGACCTTCCTTGGCTCGACAGCAAGCATCACAGCTCAGGACAAATGACCTCACTCTCTGGTGGATACCTTTCCACCAACAGAATTTACGGATCAATCTCACAGTCCTCCCTATCCCAGGGTGGAGGAAAGTGTGGTGGAACTTATGAACAACCTCTAACTGGAGATCACGACGGTTGGCTGGGATGTACACAATCCACTCAACTTCCTTCTCAGAGGCATCCCATCGTCTACATAGCAGCATACCCGTCTTCTCCTCCAGGCGATAGTGTGTAGAGTATTTTCCTTTCGAATTCGCTCGTAACTCAGAGCTAACCAACACACAGAAGTCGTCACTTAATTGAGCCTTCCCCACTCTATCCGCGAATACTTCAAACCAATCTCGCTCTACATCCTCCTTCTGGCCAACGAGACACTCACACTGCTTTTCCGATAACTCCTCTTGGCCTTCACCCTCACTCGTCTCTCCCTCGGAGGACATCTCATCGGGACCATCCGAAGTAGCTATGACTGATCTATCAAAGGAGACAATCGAGTCAGCTTCAACAACTTGAATTACTTGTTCCCACGAAGGGGAATCATCTCTCAATGGTGTGCCAAGCGGTCTCGTCAACCGATCAGAAACATTGTATTGAGAAGGGATATGACAAAATTGCAAATCAATATTAGGACTGCATTCAATAATATCAGAACATGTAGACTTAATTGCGAGTAATCTAGTAAGCTCTGGCTTAGGTAATCGTGAGCACATCTTCTGGCCGTGGCCAGACAAGACCGCTCTCAAACGGAATAATGTAATACTACTATCACCGAGGATGACAGACCTCGTGACTTTGGACCTCAATGCCATAACAATGCTATACAACTGCTCAACACCGAGGCGCATTGCTTCCAAT